GGCTGTATGTTAACGACTCTGTTATCAATTGTTTATTCTTTCTATTTTAGACCAATTTTTTATCCTTCCAGTGGGCCCCAGTCTCTCCTATTTACCTCTGTCCCAAAACACGATCCTGGTTTTTTTCCGAAAACCATTATCTTCCCTAATGGAGGTTCTTTGTCGTAAAATCCATCTAAGACTGCTCCTTGGTACTTCGAGTTCCGTAATATTCTATCCTTTCAATCTGCACTCAAATGAGAACTTTCTTCATAAACTCCTTTTTTCATACTGCCCTTTAGCAAAACATATCATGGCCCAAACTTATCCTCAAGAAATTCCTTACTTATAAGAGATCGCAAACCCTTGTTATAAAACAGATTACTCTTGCTAGGTTTATTTGTATTTTTGTATAAGCATGTTTGCCTTCGACAATGTAGCTGAATCCCTGAACTGATGACTAAGTTGAGACAGAGCTTATGACGCTAAACCTAGAGTCAAACCATATCACTCAAAAATAATCATTTCTTATGACTGCATTCCTGCACCCAAGCTTTTAGCGACGATACTGCAAGAAAACTAAGAACCCTATTTGACAATTATTCACTTTTAGTGTATTCCCTAAAACAGGAACATGTCGGTAAATTTTCTCAATGCCTTTTAGAAACATTTCATTTGTCGTTATATTTATATGTAGAGCATTTGACCTCAAAGCACAACGTTCTTGTGCATCCTTCTTTGCTAAGAACATTCTTGGTTCCGAAAATACTTTAGGGACATTTGTTGTACTGAGTTGATTGCTGCATGAAAAAGTTCGTTTTGTGGGCTGCTTGTAGTATGGGGGTGTTTGTTGTGTGTAGCTGACTGCAGTATGGAGAAGTTCGTTGTATGTTGTATGGGATGTTTGTTGCACGGGGGTGTTCGTTGTGTGGAGCTGATTGCTGTGTGGAGAGGTTCGTTGTATGGACTGTTTGCTGTATGGGGGTGTTAATTGTGTTGAGCTGTTTGTTGTATGAGGGTGTTCATTGTGTGGAGCTGTTAGTTGTATGGGGGTGTTCGTTGTGAGGAGCTGTTTGTTGTATGGGGATGTACGTTGTGTGGAGCTAATTGCTGTATGAAGAGGTTCGTTCTATGGGCTGTTTGTTGTATGGAAATGTTCTTTGTGTGAAGCTATTTGTTGTATGGGGGTGTTCGTTGTGTGGAGCTGTTAGTTGTATGGGGATGTACGTTGTGTGGAGCTAATTGCTGTATGGAGAGGTTCGTTCTATGGGCTGTTTGCTGTATGGGGGTGTTCATTGTGTGGAGCTGTTTGTTGTATGGGGGTGTACGTTGTGTGGTAGCCTGTTAGTTGTATGGTGATGTAGCGTTGTTGTGGAGCTAATTGCTGTAGTGGAGAATAGGTTCATTCTACATGGACGTTTGTTGTATGGGGGTGTATCTTTGTGTGAAGCTGTTTGTTTGTATGGGGTGTTCGTTGTGAGGAGCTGTTGTAGTTGATGGGATGTACGGTTGTGTGGAGCTTAATTGCTGTATGAATGAGGTTCGTTCTATGGGCTGTTGTTTGTATGGAAGATGTTCTTTGTGTGAAGCTATTTGTTGTATGGGGGTGTTCGTTGTGTGGAGCTGTTAGTTGTATGGGGATGTACGTTGTGTGGAGCTAATTGCTGTATGGAGAGGTTCGTTCTATGGGCTGTTTGCTGTATGGGGGTGTTCATTGTGAGGAGCTGTTTGTTGTATGGGGATGTACGTTGTGTGGAGCTAATTGCTGTATGAAGAGGTTCGTTCTATGGGCTGTTTGTTGTATGGGGGTGTTCGTTGTGAGGAGCTGTTTGTTGTATGGGGATGTACGTTGTGTGGAGCTAATTGCTGTATGAAGAGGTTCATTCTATGGACTGTTTGTTGTATGGGGGTGTTCTTTGTGTGAAGCTGTTTGTTGTATGGGGGTGTTCGTTGTGAGGAGCTGTTTGTTGTATGGGGATGTACGTTGTGTGGAGCTAATTGCTGTATGGAGAGGTTCATTCTATGGACTGTTTGTTGTATGGGGGTGTTCTTTGTGTGAAGCTGTTTGTTGTATGGGGGTGTTCGCTGTGAGGAGCTGTTAGTTGTATGGGGATGTACGTTGTGTGGAGCTAATTGCTGTATGAAGAGGTTCGTTCTATGGGCTGTTTGTTGTATGGAAATGTTCTTTGTGTGAAGCTATTTGTTGTATGGGGGTGTTCGTTGTGTGGAGCTGTTAGTTGTATGGGGATGTACGTTGTGTGGAGCTAATTGCTGTATGGAGAGGTTCATTCTATGGACTGTTTGTTGTATGGGGGTGTTCTTTGTGTGAAGCTGTTTGTTGTATGGGGGTGTTCGTTGTGAGGAGCTGTTAGTTGTATGGGGATGTACGTTGTGTGGAGCTAATTGCTGTATGAAGAGGTTCGTTCTATGGGCTGTTTGTTGTATGGAAATGTTCTTTGTGTGAAGCTATTTGTTGTATGGGGGTGTTCGTTGTGTGGAGCTGTTAGTTGTATGGGGATGTACGTTGTGTGGAGCTAATTGCTGTATGGAGAGGTTCGTTCTATGGGCTGTTTGCTGTATGGGGGTGTTCATTGTGTTGAGCTGTTTGTTGTATGGGGGTGTTTGTTGTGTGGAGCTGTGTGTTGTATGGGGATGCTCGTTGTGTGGAGCTAATTGCTGTATGGAGAGGTTCGTTCTATGGGCTGTTTGTTGTATGGGGGTGTTCTTTGTGTGAAGCTGTTTGTTGTATGGGGGTTTTCTTTGTGTGAAGCTGTTTGTTGTATGGGGGTTATTCGTTTATAAAGATTCAGTTGGCTGGAGGTTGTTTCCACATGGCTTCATTGTTTGATTTTTTCAGATTCACGGGCAAATCTTTGAGATGAGTCTGTTGACAAAGGTTATACAATTATTTTGCTTAGCAAAGTGACCGTCGAAGCAGTAGCATTTTGGCCTCCAAGCCTTGCCAGAAAACGTTATTCTTCATCAAGGCACTTTACAAAGCAACTAGCTGTAACTTTCTTTTGCAATATTCTTTAATGATCCTCTTAGGTCCTCCGAGCCTCCGAGTTACCGAGCTACATTATAGTTACATCAAATGACCGTACTATGTATATGAGGTTGGTTGTATATACAAATTAGAGAACTTGCAGTTGTTGAGCAATTTTCACGGCAGTATACAGATTTTACTTTTGATTTCCTTATCATTATCGAAAAAGTCTAAAATAGTCTGAAAGGACACTACATGTAAGGAGAATAGCCATCTGGGACCGTCGATTATGACCAAAACATGATGACAAATTAAACAACCATATGTCAGGCAAAGTAAGCCTATAAAGAAGTTGTCATGCAAGCTGACATACGTCGTGTCCTGAATAAACATTCACTGACATGAAGTCAACTGACACTAACAACAAACATTTTGATTTTTACGGCAGCTTGGTTGTTTTTAACAACAAACTAACAACAAATATTAGCTTTCTTGTTTTTAATCCCAAGCTAAGCCCTATCTCGACGACATTTAGTTGAATTTGTGTTATTGTTCAAATTATTATTGTTCTATTTGATTGCATTTATATACCTCATTTATTTGATGGAAAACATACAAAACTATTGCTAGTAAAGATATTCCATTCACAGAAAGTAAAAAGAGAGTGTTTACTGTTCACCTCAGTATTTAAAACCACACTATAGAAACGGTTTAAAACTTGTGACATTTCATCCCTGGCTTCACAAACCGTGGATAATGTTACCTCAAAAATTTTGTAATCTCCATGGGTTACACTTGCAATAGTTGAAACTTGCATCTCACCAAGCAACGGCACTTAGTATATTTCACGTCTTCAAGTCTTAATCAATGCCTGTGCTTTACGAAAAACACCTTTAAAAAGGCTCACAAATACAGCAAAAAACAGCAAAAAACACTTCGATAGCAAATGAAAATCTCTTTTGAGGGATTATGCCTTGAAACTAAAAAATAACAATTGAAAAAAATGAATTAGTTCTAAGTCCGGCCGGAATCTTAAACTTGTACGTCTTTGATCTATAATTCACTTTCCGAACGGTCACTGGCGTTCATGAATACAGAATCTTTGGTAATCGTAGACCACAGTTGTAGCAACCCTGTTACATCACCTAGCATATCAGGTAAAATGAAATATCTTTGATAAAAAATTCAATTTACTCACCAAAAGACGAATAGCCTTCGTTTTATATTTAGTTTTCAGTATCTCCTTCAACACTGCTGCGAATGTTCACGTTTGGATCTACAAGTAAAAGATATCAGCGATAGAACATGATGTGTTTAATATAAAGTAGGGCTTGTCATATATCAACAGAATTCATCTTTTTTATGTTACATCGAAGAAGTGTCTCGAATGACAGGCGAGCATCAGAACACCGTGGCCAATCAAATCACAATGCATGGCATTAAGAAAAGTCATTTCAAAAAAAGATAGTTAATATTAAAAATTAATACTTGTATGTATGTATGTTTACCAAAAGAACCTGAAAATGAACCTCTGTTAATAAACTAACGGCTAGCAGACGATGTCACACTTCTTCAATCTTGGCATCCATACATGATTGCGTAGGAATCATAAGTCTGACACGGACCAAGAGAATATGAATTTCCTGTCATCTGATCACTGACAAGAAACCTTGTATGCAACGCAAATAAACCGCACGATCGCCAAGCAAACACAAAACTCATCAATCTCTTAAAGTAGGGTTGATTCTTCTAAAAACACATGCTAGATCATCTTGTTTTTTCTTTGAGATGAATTTAAATACCGCAGTCTTTCAGATATTGATAGAGTGAGTACCCTCAAAATAACCGATTTCAATTGCTTTTGTACACAGAGTTTTCTTCTATTTTGATTCGGTCAAATTTCATTACGATACTTTTAATAAGAGTATTTGTTTGATCCCAGCTGTTTCTTGTCTCGAATTATTCTTTAGCAATCAAAAATGCAGTACTTGTTGAAACAGCTCCTATTCTGTCTATTCGTTTGATTTTCGTCTAGTCAGCAACTAGCCTGAAACATTCCAAGTAGCCTCATTGCAAAGAGTTGTTTGAAGCTATTTCAGAAGTGAACGCTTTGGTGGATCCTTGGTGAGCAGAAAAAGAAAATCTTAAGAGAGAAGCGAGCCTAAGTGAGTTTCAAAGGTTTTTTCATCTTCTGTGATCATGTGAAGTATGTGAAGTTTTTTGAATCTCTTACTGATTGTACAGCTCCAAAAGATATCCAGAGATTTGTCTACCACAAGCACAAGGTTAGTGATGGATACAACTTCAAGGAAAATATCGTTCTTGAGCTCTTAGTTCATGGCAATCTGCAAACGGTAGTGTATGTTTTACATCGGGTATGACAGGATTCAAGTTTTACCACCGTTGGTTATCAAAGCCATGTGCAAAATAGCTGCAGGAACACGCTTTTCTCAAATACATTTGCACAGCTAAAATTGCACAAGTTTTGTTATACAGAGAGGTATTATATTTTATATTATGCTTTTGAAAAACATTTTTATTCAAAAATGCAGCTGGCTTTTTAAAGGAGTGCTGTACAATATTTAGCTGCGTGGTTGTGTCGTACAGTGTCATGTAGAGTGGCTAACGCTATAATAGTTACTCCGTTATATTGTCCCGCAATATATTATCATGTAATCTCGTGTTATGTCGCCTCGTCTAGGGTATTGTAGTGTCATGTAGTGCCATATAGTGCCATATAGTGCTATGTAGTGCTATGTAGTACCATGGAGTTCAATTGAATGCCATGGAGAGTCATGCAGTGTAGTTTCGTGCAGTGTAGTTTCGTGCAGTGTAGTGTCGTGCAGTTTCGTGCAGTGTCATCCAGTGTAGCGTAGGGTGTTGTGGTGTGGTGTGGTATGGTATGGTGTGGTGTGGTGTGGTGTGGTGTGGTGTAGGGTAGTGTGGTGTGGTGTAGGGTAGTGTGGTGTGGTGTAGGGTAGTGTAGTGTAGTACAGTGTTGTGTAGTGCACTGTAGTGGAGTGTAGTGTAGTGTAGTGTAGTGTAGTGTCGTGTCGTGTCGTGTAGAGTAGTGTAGTGTAGTGTAGTGTAGTGTAGTGTAGTGTAGTGTAGTGTAGTGTAGTGTAGTGTAGTGTAGTGTAGTGTAGTGTAGTGTAGTGTAGTGTAGTGTAGTGTAGTGTAGGGTAGTGTAGTGTAGTGTAGTGCAGTGTAGTGTTGTGTAGTGCAGTTTCATGCAGTGTCGTGCAGTGTAGCGCAGGGTGGTGTGATGTGGTGTGGTGTGGTGTGGTGTGGTGTGGTGTGGTATGGTATGGTATGGTATGGTATGGTATGGTGTGGTGTGGTGTGGTGTGGTGTGGTGTGGTGTCGTGTAGTGTCGTGCAGTGTCGTGCAGTGTAGCGTAGGGTGGTGTGATGTGGTGTGGTGTGGTGTGGTGTGGTGTGGTGTGGTGTGGTGTGGTGTGGTGTGGTATAGTATGGTATGGTATGGTATGGTATGGTATGGTGTGGTGTGGTGTGGTGTCGTGTAGTGTCGTGCAGTGTCGTGCAGTGTAGCGTAGAGTGGTGTGATGTGGTGTGGTGTGGTATGGTGTGGTGTGGTGTGGTGTGGTATGGTATGGTATGGTATGGTATGGTATGGTATGGTATGGTATGGTATGGTATGGTATGGTATGGTATGGTATGGGTATGGTATGGTGTGGTATGGTGTGGTGTATTGTGGTGCAGTCTATTATTTTCATTTGCCAGCCTAAAAAAATCGAGAAAAATCGTGATTTGAAAAACTGCAACCAGTACATCTCAGAGGAACCCCATTTACGGATTTGTATTTACCTACTAGAGGGAGAAAAGCTTTTAATTTTAATAAACAGCCTCTGCATCGGGATCATTCCCAAGCAAAACAACTTATCTGTCTAAACATGTGAAACAACTGCAAAACAGTAAACGATAGGAATGTCTTGAAGTTTTACGACAAAGTTTCATGATATACGATTAAGACTGAGAAAAGCTTGAGAAATTAGCCCTATGTTGCTGATTGGATACGTAAGGTCTTGTGAGGTAGCGAGACGTTAAACAAAATTTTGTTCCGGGTAGAGAGGTCTAGATGCACACAGCACCATTGTAAAAATGACTTTATTGATATTTTTTTCATTAACAAGAACCTAGAAGAGATCCAGGGAGTTATAATCAGTGAGAAATTGCTTAAAAAGCATCCGCTGTACTTCTATTTGAAAAACTAGGCTTTTGAATAATCATCTGGTTACACAAAACCAAAAGCTCTTCTAAATGTGCTAAGCAAATTTTAATGCAATTTTAAGATAAGCCCTTTAGTCCTGCTTGATTAAGGTAGCCATGAAATTTGATCAAATACATTGCAACGGCGCGTTAAGCTAAATTTTCAAAATGACCTTTAGTCAAATGTTACCTTGGAAATGTGCATAGGAAATTGGCAATAATTATAAAAAAATTATAATGAAAACTTCAGCATCAAATGGCATTTATCTCATTTCATTGATCAGTAGACACTAATAATCGGAAAACTTTTAGAAGATCAATTTTCGTTTATAATAACTAAGTTGTTTGCTTCTCAACGAATCTTGAATCAACAGCAATCGCATCACCAGTTTGTTTAAAAAATCCAAGCCATGTTTGCTTGAATTTCAAGCTTGATTTCAACAGGCCAAAATTAGTTTGAAGGACAAAACAACTCTCAACGATAAATCTGAAGGACGAAAATTCCTGAAGACGATAAATGCACATTTCTTTCTCTTATTGCTTTAATAAACTGGCCTCGTTTTCTCTTGGCAATAATACTCTTTTACAAAGAGCCAAGTTATGTATCAAGGGCCAAGATGGCTCAAAGATCAAGCTCAAAGTGTTAGAGGGAATTAAATTAGAGAATTTGCAATTCTTGAAAAACTCTCTCTCTCAAGAGCTGTCCTTGCTTCCTGTAATAACTCTGCTCTACCCTGTCTTAAATATCCAATGATCGGACGTTAAAACAGATTTGAATGTTTTACAGGCTCTACAACGATGCAAAAAAAGATTCGAAAAATATCGAACTTTTTTAAAACGTTTAAGTGCAGTTGAAAAATTATGAAAACTTGCTGAAGAAGCGATTTGTGAATTGGAAACTTGATAAAATTTGAATTGAGCAGCCTGCCTCGCAAATCTTATAAATAAATTCATCCCATACATTTTCTTTCAAATTGCTGAAATTAGCCACCAGTTAATGGAAGGAAAGCTAAAACTCCATGCAACATGAGTATTTTGCTTTGCAGTTATTAATATCTAAGCGAGTTCACAGTGATCTGCTATCTACAAAGTTCTCTAATTGCAAATCAAAACACACCAAGAGGTAAACGAAGTGCAGATTCAATTGTGTTTTTCAACCATGCCGTGGGTGTCCCATTATCACACGCCTCCAAACGACACTCTCTCTGATGATTGCATTGCGCAAGATTCACAGAGTAGCATCTTACAACTTACGTGTATTTAGAACGAAAGCCTTTTTTGCACATGCATATTTTATAACAGAATTATCGAAACAAGATATTTCAAGTAAAGTCAGATTTAAACTTGATTTACAGCGTCAATTATACCTAAGGAAACAGAACGCTTCCTTTTTAGTCAGTTTTCTAAACAAAACTAGAGATGAAATCTCGGTAAAAAGTATGATTTTGTGCTGTAGCTCATTCCCACAATCGCAAAGAACCTTGCATTTATGTGATGGCCTCAACTGCATAAATATATATTGCTATATATGGCAACGTTGATTGCATTTCCAGTACTTTGGAGAACTAAGTCCCTTTCTTCCCGATTAGACACAAAGCCTTTAAGCCAGGTTTTTCTGTTTATCAGTTACAGGCGTGTTTTAACTACTTATTGTTTGTTGTCGCAAATACAGGCAGCTAACACGATTCGCTATAACGGCTACATGTATGAATTGAGATCCACTTAGTTTAAATCTAAGTATATCCATCTTGAAAGCAGGTTATCTGCCTAGAAGAACTACCAGATATAAACAGCTTATAAAGGACACGATTCTGTCTTTTCAGGACGGTAGCTGCAGTCGGTGAAAATGCATACTCGTATTTGCATTCTTTGGTTATTCCTGGTTTTATTCTTAATCTTCGGTAAGTAAACATTGTCTTACCTTAATCTGCAATCCATAATTAAGATCATTAAACTACTTGCTGTAATTAAGTAATAACTCCTCATATTCCTAAGAATGCTTTTGATTTCTCTACCGTTACATGCCGAAGGTGCTACTAAAGCATATCTGTTTTCTGGCAATAAACAAATCGCTCAGTGTTATACAGAGGGTCGGAGCATCTTAAAAACAAAACGGTACATCATAAACAGGTATAATTTACACTACTCTAAAGCTGCAAGTTAGCGAAAAGATTTTATTTAAAGACAGAAAATCCAGTGATCAAAGGAAACATCCCTACTACCGATTCTATCTGATCTATAGTATTATCTTAAAATGCAGTGTTAGTCACAAAGAAGCAATTTGTTATGCACGGACAGTGCCGCTAAACTTTAGGCATAACTTTTCTAGCCATTCCATTTCAACTTTGATTTGCAGTCGCTTTTCCGCCAACGTTTTGAAGTAAATTACCTGTGAAACCTTTTCACTAGAAAAATAGTAGGGAGATAAAGAAGATGCTTTTATCTAAAATATTGGAAACACCTGCATGATAAAACCATATCGAAAAGAAGAAAAGGGGATTTGTCCCCTTAAAATATAACTAAACCGGCACATTTATGGTACAAATTAAGCTGTTGACAGTTGGGTCGGGAAACGGAGTTAAATTTTGTTGGACAAACCCCCACCCCCTCTCTATCCTAATATACTTCCACGCAATCAAATAAAGCATGTTATATTTGATTGGTTTTGATGTCTAATTGCTTCACAAGTGGTTTGAATTTCGAAGGCCATATTGTTCACAACTCCATCGCCATTACTCGTTCGTCGAAGTGGTGCAATACTTTTCGAACGTTAGTGTACTTCCGAAGCATGCTTGACGACCAATACACGACGACGAATTAAGTTATCGATACCATATAGACAGAGCAATACACGCTTTGGTGTAAGGAACAGGACTCTTGACCGCATTAAACATGGGGTTGCAACTTTGTTCGGTTCTGTTCTATACTTCAAGAGTATTTACAGAAAGACATTTTTTAAGATTCGCTCGGTCCCTTTTTCGATCTATAGTTAACGAAGACGCCTTCACTGAATTCATTTGCAACTTTATTGGCTAAAATAAGCACCGGCTATTTTTGAATGGTTTCAAGGTTTCTTAGCCTTAAAATTAGCGGTGGGGTCAGGGGATCAAAATCAGTGATCTTTTTAAAAACAAACAATATATTTAAATCAATCTTAAAAAAGAAAAGATTAGTCTCTGAAATATGTGGCACTACCTACTGGCAACATAGATATATACTTTTAATAAACTTTTTATTAGTTGGTGTAAACATGTCTATATTCAAAAGATTTCCTGTAGCATACTTTTGATTTTATGTCGATGCCGCAAATTGCAAAATATCACCACGGCATTTTGTTTTTAAAGGAATGAATGGATATTTTCGCAGATAGCTCTTTTTTGACCCACGAATTTCTATACGCTCAATTTCATCATATGAGATTATATTGCGATGCGCAATGGCGAGGCATAAGGTTACGAAAACATCTAAACATGTCATTTTATAAAATTGTTAAAATAACTGTTGAAGAATAGAAACATCTACAAGAGATATTAAATAAGCACAGAAAATTCCCGAAAAGAGCAACTTACTTTCTAGTGAGCCTGACTGTTTTGGTCATCGTTTAAAGGTGCAACCTACACGATGTAGACTAAACGATTTTCTTTCGTAGTGGTATCCGTGTGTGAAAGTGACATATTGCCATTTTTGCTGCAGCAATAAAATCTTGAACGCTCGCTATTCGAATAAACTATTTTTGAGCGTGTAACTTTGAGAAGAAACTTAGGCCTGTTTTTCTCTACACAATAAACTGCGCTTTCTATTTGTCATCGAGTACTTATCACATGACAAACTTTACAGTAATCATTACCAAATTTTTCTGTGATAAAATACTAATTTAATGATCAAGGTACCGAGAGCAAAGATGATGATGAGCTGAGGCTTCTGGACGACCTGTTTGTGAAAAGAAAATACAACAAACAAGTAAGGCCAGTTGATAATAAAGACAAACCGCTCAAGATACAGTTTGGAATTGCGTACGTTCAACTGGTTGGAATCGTAAGTAACATTTCAATATAATTCATCTTTTTCCTAGACAGCATACCTTTTCTTAGAAATTCCTCAATGCTGTGTCTTACAGGCCTTGAAGTGATCAACAAGAAAGTTGCTCAAATTGTACACTTGTAACATATGAACAAGAAATTGCATCATTTGTAGAATTTAACATTCTCGATGCATGCAAACGTTTTTTTTAAATTTTAGGCAAGTTCTACTGTCAGAATTCTTAAATCATAACTTAAAAATTTATGCGAACTTTATTGGCGTTAAATATTTCACCTTAAATTATTTCCAGTATCTTTGTTACAAGATTTAATAAAAATTCGCAAGTATATAACTTTATATAAGTTTATATAACCAACGTTGTTTAAGGCAGTGAAACAGCGTGATATTGGGTTTGACTTGACCCAACTATAAATTCATTAGGGGGTCTTGCCTCAAATTCAACAAGGATGGCAAAGATATAAAAACTTTATCTCTACTGATGCCACCTAGTCCAATTTTACAAATGACTTTTGTAAAAACATAGTCATATGAAGACCTCGATTACAAATCTAACCGCCGTTTCATCTTAAAAGAAAACTACTTTACTATAAATTCGTCTTTCCGAAAACACCTTTGTCATAAAATTTCCAACAGGGTTTTAAGGTTGAATTTTCCAGCTTTTTGAAAATCAATTTTTACTTCTTGCATCGTAATTCCGCAGGCCCTTTGACTGGCTCTTTTTTTAATGGTACCTTTACTCTTTTTTAACGAAAGATGACTTTCTAAATCAAAACAAGTAACAGTGTATTTATTTTTCTTAAAGGATGACAAAGAGCAAATGATGGTCAGTAACATATGGGTTAGACAGGTAACGGAATTTTTTTTCTTTATACATCATCTTCAGCAATCTAGTTGAAAGTGCCTCGTTTTCAATTATGAATGTCAACTTTATCAATCCTTATCAAGATGCACAATTATACCTCTAGTACAATATTAGACTTACTGCAAGAACCTCAGTTTCAACTACAGCCTCACTTTCCGGACACAACGACAAATCGCATATTGAGCGTCCATCGATTCAATTCAATAGCAACATTTGTTAATCATGGAGTAAGTCTAGTACAGCGTACAACAGCTTACTTATGTAAACACAGAGCCTCTAGTTTGGTACGATTACAACATTTACAATTCTAAAGCGGTATGTAGGACAGAAGAAAAGGCGGTAAAATCTCGAGAAATTACCAAAAATAATCTAGAGTGAACTTAAGCTACTGCAATTGAAAGTACTAGTCAGACGATATCTAGATATTTAATCTGATACATATAGGATTTCGTGTCAAATTCTGATTCGTGCAAAGCAATGCAGGTAATTCATGATAGAACTGTAAACTTCGCATAGTCAAGTTAGCTTTCCCTTTATGACAATGTGTTTTGACTATTGTTTTGAAGCTATAAAAATCATTGTTTTCATTCATGATTAGAGCTAATACAATGACCTGCAGAAGACTTTAATATCATAATCTCTATTAATTGACGATATGCATCTACAAAGTTCTCGGTAAACTTACGTCAGTTCATGGCTTTGTCGGATCCAGTCCTCATCTGTCTTCCGTATCATCAAATTCAAATCAGATAAATAGACCATATCTCCCTACGTCAAACTTTAAGAAGCTAGCATTGAACTTCTGCATTCTAATCCTGGATAGAGACAAAAAAATACTGTTATCGAAAAGCCTCTTAAGTTATGACAGCTAAACACAAATTGTGTAGCAATATCCAACAGAAAGTACCGCAAACTCAGTTCTGCAGGCGTGGCAATTTTCCGATCTTTCGTCTATTGCAACACCCACAGTACAGTTATCGTAATATTTTGATAAAAAAGATTAGGCAACAGTTCCTGTTTAAAAATACATTTTATTTGCAATGACGAAAGGTTCAAAGTACTGTTGCTTGTGACCACAAGACATAGCAAGGTCATAGCAAACAAGATGTAGCACTTCCATGCTTCAATTAAATTTGAAAGATACATTCTGACCTGTAGCACTTCCGTTTGACTCTACAATTGCTGAACAACATTTTGGCGGTACAAAATTTTAAGATGGCTTTGAAAAAGGCAAACATTTTAGTTACAACATACTTTGAGCTTTTTCATCTGAAACTCAGAGGATAAAACGTCAAAATAAGGGTCCTTAAGAACAAGATAGAAAATATATACTCAGTTGTGGATTGAAATAGGCCAATCAGAAAAAGCAAGCAGAAGATCGCCATAGTTGTCCAAACAGTCCGCGTGATTATAGCAAATAAACTTTTAATCAGGCGTGAACGTTGGATGAACGTTTCTTTTTTTAAAAACCAAAGAAATTCACTTCAGATACGTATGAATAATAGGTTTCAATTAAAGGCTGCTTTGCGTTTACTAACAACGCAGCAAGTGCTTGATGTTTAGATTTCATGGAAGGAAAACATCATATCCAGCAAAAGCTTGCCAAATAACATATCAGACACAAGTTCCTTTAAATCCATAATCTGTAAAAACGTTATTCAAATTTCTCTTCTGTGGAAATCGCCAGGGATGCGCAGTAAAAGTCAACAGTGAAGAGCCAAAATTTGACCGAAAACCCACTCAGAAACTTATATAAGTATTTTTCTGTTGCTATCATTTTAGTTATAAAATTCGTTTCACATCAGCCACTGCTTTTCAATTATGTCTTGCACCTCTAGAAAAGCTCGAGCATATCTTTCAACCAACCCCCTCTCCACATTAGAACAATACCATTCAACACAAGCCTAAATTTCTAATGTCATGTTGAAAGATTACATAAATGTCCTCTTTTTTAAGAATTCTCGTATTCAAGCAATCTCGTATTCAAGCAATCTCGTACTCAAGGATTCTCGTATGCAAGCATCCTCGTATAAAAAAATGCTTCTATTTAAGCATCCTCGTTTAAAAAATGCCCCTTTTCAAGCATCCTCCTTCCCATCGAAAAAAGTCTTGTAACAGTTGTGTCGAGCTCCAGAAGGCATAAAACCATCCCTCTCTCCGCCTTGTGGGTTCAATACAAACTAACACACAATGTTAGGTGGCATCAGTTTTGACGCGACTTGTATGATATTTACCATCAGTGTTTTGGGGATTGGGGATCAAAACAGTAGGATCAGGAAATATACAGTCATTTTTTTTTCCTTTTGATAGACAATGTGCTTGATAAAATTTTATGATCTTGATTATTTCATAGAAATGGAATAATACACATTTGAAGTGGGATCCGAAGAAATATGGCGGAATTAAATCGATAAATGTAGACCCGATCAATGTGTGGCTGCCAGACATTGTTTTGTACAACAAGTACGTATCCAAGAGAATCTTTTTATCAAAATAACGGCTTTTTACAGCCAAAGGAGTAGACACATCTAAGTGAAGCTACTATAGGGCTAAGAAAGTGGCCATTCACTCTAAACCCTTATTGCTAGACATATACTTTATCATATATTTTCCCATTTATTTTACAATGCCTGCCAAAAGTCTTGGAACACTGACGTCAGTTTCCAAGGTCAAAATCAATCATCCCCCTCTCCCCCATGGAACAATTTTGGTTTACTATAAACGGGTTAGGATTTTAGGAAGCACTTTCTTTGCGCTTCTTTTGTGATATTTCTCTAAATTATTAAAATTGTTCTAGGGGGAAGGGGACAAGAGTAGTACTTTTTTCTCGGAAAAGGAATGATATGAAATAGATATAAAAGATATAAAATGCAATGCAAATTGCTGGGTGTTCCAAGAACTTTTGACAGGCATTGTAGATCTACTGTTGTGCTAATGTGCTAGGGGAAATAGAATGCTGTTTAAGGCGACTTGTTCCGGTATAATGGTTGTCATTTCTAGAGGAGTGACCTTTACATTTTGAATTTTGCTGGTAAAGCTAATAAAATTTTACTGTTATCCTTTTAACACAATAGAAGAAAAACTCGATATTCTGACAGGTGTAAGGTGCATGGTGAAACATCTTTTCCTGCAGCATGTGGTTTTAAATAAACAATGTTCTCCAGGTCCTAAAAGTTACTGAGCACCCTGTCAATTTGCGAATCCTTTTTATTCCAGTGCAAAGAAAGGACATGACTCTCTAACGATGTATAAGTTCAAAACAAAGGTCATTTTATCAAGCAACGGCGAAAACAAATGGTATGCTCCAACAATAATCCGCAGCGGTTGCAGCATCGATATAACATACTTCCCTTTCGACCATCAGCAATGCAAGCTACAGTTTGGTAGTTGGACATACACAGGGGAACAAGTGGATATTGAAAGTATGGATTCAAAAGTTGATTTGAACAAGTATTTGAATAGCTCGCAGTTCAAGTTAATATCAGCAACAGCAACCAGATACTTCACAAAATATGGGTAAGGCTGTTGCTTATTGCTTTCTCAGCTTGTACTTTATCGAGTACACATATCTTCCCGTTTTGCTCTATTTCGATTCTACCCTTTTCCCATCCTGTTACATCCTTTAAAACCTTTGCTACATATTTGGCAGTTCATGTTCATCAGACCTTCCAAAACCTCCATCTGTCGTGTCCTGCGCCGTCTTTCGTATTGTGTACGGTTATATCAAGGTTCCCAATATATCTTATTATAACAACGACCTCTTTTAACCGAACCAGTACCAACAAAAACTAAAGGACATTATATGAACTAATTTTGGCTGGGTTCGTGCACTATTAACCAAGAACATCTGCACAACGAGATCAAAGACAGTAATAGCTCCTTTACTTTAGAACAAGTATACAGGAACAAAACGCTGGCAATTGGATAGGGTATCAGAGTCAGAAAAACATTACGGTCGCACGTCCACTGACCGGAGGAAGGTCCACAAAAAACAATAGAAGCTCATAAGACACACCAAATTTCTATTTGTGAGGAAGGTTTGCCTTCTGGGATGTTTTTGTCTGGAGGAAGGTTAACAACTTTTCTGGACTCTGGGGATATGTTTTTTCTTTTCCTGCAAGCTGCATTAATTCTTTAGCTCCTTAAATTTAATTCCTTAATAATGTTAATAAAATGCTAGAGAACATAAAAGCCAGGTGAAAACAAGGAATACCTGTTTTAAAATTAATTTTCATCGCGTCTGGAAACCCACCCTTAAAGTAATAGTTGTTGGTTAAACTTTTGTCACTGATCATTTGAAGTAAGCTCGTCTCCCCTTGCGTTTTACAACATCAAATGTCTTTACTTTAACCAATTTCCAAGTCATATGTTCTAGTCCACACACAACGGCTACCATAAATCATAACACAACCATATCACTGTTGTCTTGCTCAATGAGAACTCTCTTTGATCTACTCAATGCAGAAGCAATATAATGTATACCGTAAAGAGAATATTGAATTACTAAGAGTGATATACAGTGCAGTGAACCACAGACAGCAACATTCAGACAGTATAGAGCATGCAATATTCTTTTTACACTGTACATTATACTGCTTCAATATTTGAGTAGATACAAGAATGTACTCTTTGAACAAGACAACAGCGTTGTACTTAAGTGACAAATTTACGCTCTAATGTGCTTTTCGATCTATCAGCTAATCGTCACTATTGTATATTACTTACTTACTGGGTCTTTTTTTCTCATTTCAGATGCTGCCTGACGTATCCCTACATCGATTTCGTTCTGCACTTCAAAAGGCAGCCTGGCTTCTTCTTATTCAACGTCATTATCCCATCCCTTGTGATCACGTGTTTCGCTATATTAACTTTCTCGTCACCTCACCTTACAGGTGAAAGAGTTGGCCTAGCAATCGAATCTTTTCTTTCCTTATCATTCCTCTGCCTCATGGTCGCTGGTAGCATACCAATAAATTCAGACGTGACGCCTCTGATAACCAAATTCCTATTGATGTGCATGGCAATGATCTCCATGGCAGTGTTATTTAACCTGGTCTCTATGAATCTACTACAGTCGCAAGCCATCCCTCCATTGGTTCGATTCATATTCTTCCACGTCCTTGGACCAATCGTTGGCGTTTGTGAGGGACGTAATAAAGGCCTGCAAAAAAGGAGAAAATCGATTTTGATCAAAGAACAAGGTGCAAGGGTTCTTAGTTACTTGGATCGCACCACAGCCGCCGAGTTAGGGAATGATACAATGAGTGCTGCAAGCTTGTTACAATCGGCCCATCAAACGCCAAGCAAACAGCCAAGCATGCCCTATAAACGGTTTCAGAAGAAGAACAAGCCGACTACGCCTACGAACAATGCAATGGATGTTATCATGTCCAACGTTGATGAGCTCGTAAAAAGATCTCACATCGAAGCCATCACTCTAGCAAACAAGGACTTTTGGAGATGTGTTGCCCAGACCCTTGATCGCATATTTCTCATCTCGTTCTTTCTGAGCTTTATCTTCGTGTCAGCTGTAATGCTTCTTAAGGGGTTTGGGCATCATATAAAATAAGCATGAGGCGACCAGACCGAAAGTGAATTTGTAAGTGGACAAATGAAAGAGTCTAAAGATTGAAACTTGAAACGAAATTCATTTTCAGGTCTGATTTGTTTATATGACACTAAATGTGACCCTTGAAGAGTCATGTGAAATTTTGTGCAAACTAATATTTGCATGTTGTAGAATTTAACCTAGATAAACGTGAAACGTTTCAAGTTAGTATGATATTTAAAAACTGTGAACAAAATATTGAATGGAAATATATCCTAAAAGAAACAGTTCTTATCTAAATTTACCGCCTTAGAAATCCTTGTAGATATTACTGGAATACGTGTAATCATGAAAAACCTGATAGAAAAAAAACGAAAATATTTTCGGGAAACAGTAAATCGAATCTCGAAAACATTTGAACATAAAGCTTGTTAATGATTGCGTCTCCTTGCCGATATCTGATATAGCAAATCTCCCTAGCAACACAGAACCTGTGTCATTCTCTCTTGAGAGGCCTTATTTGCCAAACCCCTTTGTCCTTGTCCACGCTTAAAGGTTATCACATTTCTTGCGAAAAATTGATGAAAAATCGCATCTTAAAGTTTAAAAGATTAAGATACCAGGAACCGTGCTGAATTCTTCTCAACCCAAGCCCCTCCCCCTTCCTCCTGCAAATTTTGATTGCGTAAGTCAAATTTAACCGCAAACAAACATTTTGTGCGGGACAGTCTGCGAGTTTGTGGGGTTTTGTCTGCCATTGTCAAAGCGGTTTGTCTGATAAAATGGCAGGCGGTGAAGTCTTGATGCCTGCAGCAATGCCTGAATCATTCTTAAACCATCGATTTCAGCAATGTTCGCTGTTCGTGCCTCTACCGGCAGATTTTCTGTGTTGTTCGTTCGGCTAAACTGCCCGTAAAGGTGTTCCCTTTTTGTGTTCCCGTTGCAATACAAACGGCTTCTTATTTTGTCAAGGAAATTATGTTGAATATCGATGCGCTGTTGTTCTCTTTTCTACCAAATCTCACTTCAGTTGCAGTGGTGGATTTATCCAATCCACAAGCATCAACACAACAACATTGCCCGCAGCCTTACACGTGACCAAGCCCCTTTAAAAAACGCGAAAGTGTTATGGAAACTTTAGATAAAACGATCTTTTTTCAGGGATGGTAATAACCTACTGTATTGTATTCAATAAATGAATCCCTTAAAAATACATGTATCTAAAATGCTACATTTCGTTGTCTTTTTTTTACAGATACTAAGAAAAACTTTTAAAAAAACTAATAAACTTGCAAGGTAGCCTAAGAGCCATGCCCGATCCTCGCCAAAGCCCAAATGAAGGAGCAAGAATGATTTCTCTATTTTCAGAAAAAAATCTTTAAAACTCCACTTTTCAAGTCCTTAATAGCAAGACTTCGTGATGCTCGATGAAGGAAAAGAAGAAATAACCAGTTTTCGATAAAATTGTAACAAACTTATTGAACATATTAGGAATGGCTTGGATCATTCCAATTTTTGCTTTGGCACAAGGGAAAGGAGTAGAAGAAGGGCCAACTTATGTGCGCAAAACATATGCAGTAAGAAAAAAACAAAGGAAATTATTTTGATGATACAGGCTATTATGCGACTGAGTAAAGCGTAGAAATTGAATTGTTTGAAATTAGGAATCGTCAATAGGTGAAAAAGCGTACAGCCTCGATTGCATACATTAGAATAAAGCAGATGGTATATGTGTATAGACGTTCTTTTACAGAAAAGCTAAAATGTGTGGTATTCTTTTAGCTTAGCCAAAATCCTTATCAAAAAATTTTCTACAACTGACTTTTATAAGTTAAAGTTGTCTTATCAAGAACATTAATCTGCTTATTTGAGCCTGTAAACATTGGGCTACTTTTTCTTAAAAAGCCATTGAAAGCGTTTAGACGAGTGTGTGAATCTTTTAAATGAAACTGCCTTTGGATTTAGGCCCCGTCCACACAGTGATGGATATTTATGAAAACGCAATTATTTTTAGTCTCTATACGCATTAATTCGTATCATGAGACAATATTCAAATAATTCTTAAAGAAAATGGAGCATGCGGTTCTCAAGTTACAAATGCATGTTTTTGAACTGGATTTTAAGTAATAGACGAAAATCTGATTATGTCGCAGTTTGAAGTAAATTTGAATTCCTGGCCATATCATACTGTGACAGTAGAACCAATTGGTGCTGTTATGAGCAGATGTAAATATTCGTCTTTAGAAGCATAAAGTACGAGAAACTTATTGGGATTAGCATTGCGAGACTGTAAAACCAACTGTGAGTCTTCCCTATCATTAGAAAAGCGTTACATCAAAGGAAGCGGCAGTCTCGCACAGATTCGTTGTATAAACATTGTTCAGGCTAAAATCCTAAAGGCAAGTATTGTAAAGGAAAATGATATTAGCATAATTTTGCCAAATTGTGTAGATGTTGGTACATAAGGCAGTTTCTGTTTTATTTGCCTTGGTGCAAAGAACATATACATTTTCAGTTCAAATACATTGATTTTTATAAAATGAGTTCTTTCACAAAATTTTTATCGCTCTGTGGCCAGGGTGCATTCCATGTACTTAGGCCCGAAGATCTTCGGCGTACAACCAGGTTTTTTTCGGCGTTCGGCGTGCAAACTAATTAAAAAAATTTTTGGCGTACGTTAGTTGGCATGCTCAACATGAAGCGATGTACAGAGTTTACGTAAAATAAAGACTCAAACACCACAGTTTTCTCTAATAATCAGTTTTCTTTGTCTGGCGCAACAATGTTTACAGTTTTACTAACTCAACTGCTTTTATATTTTTGGCGTACCTAAACAAATACCCCAGTGGACCTTCGGCGTACAGTTGACATGGAATGCACCCTGGCTCTGTGGCAATGAATCTGTGTTAATGTCCGTTTTGATGTGATGAAGTAAATTTGTTACATTTCTTACAAAAACAATACAGAAGGGACCTGATTGAAAGTTGAATCTAGAACTCCTCAACGTAAAGATTTGCCCTTCTCGAAGAAGTGGTGAGGATAATGCAGATTTAGTCTCCCAGAACTTTTGTCCCAGGACTTTACTCTAAGGGATAAGTGGGGGGAGAACTCACATGGAAAAGCGAGTGTGTAGAATGTACATAATTATTGATTGAATGTAAGGCAACGGTAAGTATGCAACATGGGCAAGTCCTGTTTATTATGTTCACGTCGTGAAGGGCCTGAATCTGATAAAACGAAGTTTGATAAAGCTTATAAGAGAGTAGGTCATTTCTTTGACGTCAAAACGTTATAACCAGGTAAAGTTGAAGCACTCTTTCCTTCGAAACCGGGTTTTGTTAACAAGCTACTCGATAGCATGTTGTAGCAGATCCATTGATCGATGCACTGGCGCCCAACGTGGGGCAAGTGACTTGAAAGGTTACATGTAAAATCTGCAAGATAGTAAACAACATTAAGTAAACATAATTTTTTTCCTATAAGAAGCAACAATTTTTCGCATTAGGTACCTGAAAGATCCTTGATTTGATAAACATCATGTTTACTGATTCTTAACACCTTATTTCTATAAACATGATGTAATGTAACGAAGCAACCAATGATGTGTGATCTTTTTCGTAGTGATTGAAAGTTAGTTTCCAAAATCATGAGCATACTAGGCACGACGCTCTTGATAAATAAGTATGCTTATGCGATAGGTATTCCCATAGGTACAGGAAATGTCTAGCTTGATAGCAACCATATGTGCATATAACGTACTTTGGTTAAGTTTTATATGTATGTCCAGGGGTGTTTTTGGTTTGTTAGAAACTCAATTTCAAGAGGCTGTTGTGAGCTAAATAGATTTTGATTCTCAGCGTGCTATTTGTGTATGTAGTAGCTTAGAAACCTGTGTTGGTTATCAAGCCCGAGGTTTCGCATCTCTACAACATCAGAATCATCGTCAGAATCATTTTCAACATCAACTTGGTATATCTTCTGAAGATTTCGATGATTTCAACGGAAGTTGGTAGATTGGTTGTCATCTGGTGAATAAAAGTGAATATAACTCCCATATTTTGTAAAAGAGGCACAAGCCAAAAATTTATCTCATATTTGGGGCCAAAGGTAAACTTTTTTCTGATTCAAAATCTACAAACGATAACAACTCATTCAAACACAAGGTCAAAACAACTTTCTGAAAAAGCTTTCCAGCGTGGAAATTTTTGAAAATGCTGTTTCATGTTCATGTTTGGACAGCAAAAACGTAAATTTTAAAAAACGCTGATTATACACACAATTTCAATCCAAGATGACAAACAAAGTACTTGCTCTGATTGTAACCCTATTTACAAGTCTGATAGCTTGCTTGCAGCTAAGCACTGCATTGTTCAAACTTTATAAATATATAATCATTATATATAAACTTTATAAACATAAGTGGCTTTCAGTCATTGCTCCATCTGGTCGTCCGTCTAAACAAACAACTCGGTAGTCTTTCTTTGTGAAGGTTTCTTTGTTTTGTCTTTTCAGTGATTGTTGGAAGTTACAATCGCTGTGAAGAAGTAGTAAACTCAGCAAGTGAGAAAATCGGCGTCAAGTAATTTGCGCATGATCATAAATGAATATCTAGCGTCTTTTATTCGGTTTTGAGTCGGCGTCTGGATGAATATATTTTTGAAAACGCTCACTGCGTAGACATTTATTCATTTGACAATGGATGAAAATAAGTGCGCTTTCAAAAATATCCGCCACCGTGTGGACAGGGCCTAGGTGAAAAAGAAAAAAAGCCAAAACGCAATTTAAAAGTTTGTCAAAAGTTTGGCTTGAAAAGCTGTTAACATTCTAGAAGACAAGCAGGACATTCTTTAAGAAAAAAGATAGTGTAACAATATCGTGTCTTTTGATCGTATATATTCTAGTTCATTTGTAACAGTTACTTGGGTTCATCGTCGCTAAGACTATTAAGTTCGATCTTTACAGTTCTCAAAACAGCGCCCAACGAACTTTTGTCAGTAATTTCTTCTCCATCTAACAAGATTTGAAGGCTCGATATCCAGTTTACTTCTTCTGTTATTGGTCTCTCGTGAAAACCTAACACCACAAGTTGGCTTTTCCATTGTCCAGAATGGAGCCAGTTTGTTCCGAAATTGTCTTATATCATTTTCATCGTAATCCATTTTCAAAAGTGTAGGCCGTGAGTAACAATCTTTGTCCGTAGATTTTCGATTTTTCAATACTCTCTCATGCAGGAGCAGCATCTCATGCTCTTTTGATCTGTGAAAGGATGTACTCTTTGCGAGAAGGTTATGACCTCCACACCTGTGAATCACGTTGCAACTTCTGGAGGATCGCAAACGATTACTAACGCTTGGCATTGTACTACTCGACATTGCTAACAGATATCAGCAAATGCACCTCTTGATGAAGTCTCAGTAGACAATGTTGAAATTGCCAGCTGTTTCCAGATGATAGCAGTCAAATCATTGAGAAAAATACAGCATTTCTATCTTAAGATATCTACAAAGGCGAATCATGTAGATAACTCTTCCACAAGAAGCTTATCTTCCCCCAAACGATTCATTTGACGTAATAAAAAATTCTACATGTGCAAATTCAAACACCTGACGTTAAATTAAATGTTTCTTACCAGAAATCAGTGTGTACAAATATGGAAACGGTAGGCCAAAATGGTGGCTCGCATTGCCTAATAGCAAAAGCCGCTTGCTAATGTGCCACTGATTTCTTGGCCGTGTTTCATAGATATTAGTCAGTACACAAATGATAAAATCAACCGAGAAGAGAAGCATTTTCGAAAGAACAGTTTTTACAGGCGATATGAGTAAGAAGAAAGGCCGGCAGGACCGTTCTAGAACTGTATAAAGTGCAGCATGTCAAACTGGTGTAATCTACATCGCAAAATCCTTTCATAGCAAAAACGCTTGGTTTTCAAATGGTTTTAAACAGAAAAACATGTGAAAACCTACATCTGCCTGCACAAAGTGCTCCTTAA